GCGGCTTTTTTTTTTTTTTGCTGCTTGGGGCGGCAAAAACGCTAGAGCCGGCCCTGGTCTACACCGACTGCGAAGTCATGTTTAACATCCTGTTATGTTACTTCTACTGTAAGTTCTTTGGAGCACGGACTGACTTTTTCTGTATTTGTACAGAGTCAAGCCCAGTGGGGTCCTGGGCCATGACCGAGCTTCCCAGGTGCTACCTCAGTACAACTGGTAAGTCGTAGCTACCACAGCTCCTCAAAGTCATGTTCTAACAGGACCTAGTTTTCTAGTGAAGACAAGTCCTTACACAAGTAGTTAACAACCTCTTCTTTTTTTCTTTTTTAACTGAGTAAAGCTGTTTGGGTGCCCCAGGGCCAGGGCAAACTTGATATGCTACTCCAGGAATCCGACCACCTGCATCCTGAAGTTCTGGAGCGACTGCTCCTCCTCCACCGTCTCCATAACAATCTGGTCTCACCATTGAGTGCATGTTGGCTGCTGCTGCTCTGAGAATTGATCGAACAGGAATACCTGACTGGCATCAAAGCAGGTCTTCTCCTCTGGCGACTTCCTCTGCTTGCGATTGTTCTAGCTGGCACCTTGGGGCCAGTCCAATATAGCAGAATCTGACATCATAATGGACAGGAATGGTTATTCCTCTGGGCCTCATCCATCGTGGCGGGGAGCAGTCTGGAAATGGCAGGGGCAACAGTTCAGTCCTAGGATACTGGGAAAGAGCAGGGATGATGAGTGGGTGATGTCTGCTCCCCAAATTCCTTTCCGAGTTAGCAGGTATCCCACAACATGCCATGAAAATTGCCCACAATTCAGGGAGCCTGGTGGCCGTGCAAGGGCCTCTGGGATACTTACCTGCACTGCACCATGCTTCCACTGATGCAGTGTGGCATTGTGTGGACGCCAGTGATGTTGCGTGCATGGGTGCAAACACAATAGTGTGAAATACTGAAGAGAGGGTTTCATCAATGTATTACAGGGGTAAGTCACAGCAGTACAAGCACAGTTTTCCTCCAGCGCAGTCTGTCTGCATTAGCTACATTGACAGAACTGCTCAGCTGTGTGTCGTAGGCCCTATACTCTTCTGCGACCAATAGAGATTCCCTTTTAGCTCAGATGACAAGGCTCTAGTTCTATCCTTGCTGTTGCAGTGGAGTTCTCAGCAGCTGTGGGTTGCACCATACTGACATTGAAATCTTCTGTGGCCTGGCACTAGGCTGCAGAACTCGCCTTAACCATCCCTCCCCGACAGGGGCATCATTTCAGAAAAATTCAGGGGTATGGGGCTGGTCATGGGGGGTTACCGGGCTGGTCCCATCTCAGAGGGAGGCAGGGAGGAGGCAGCCTGGTCCTATCCCGGGGAGGGGGGGCATGTTGGGGCATGTCTCACTGGTGGCCGGCCAGGGGCAGAGATCAGGGCCTAACTCACTCTGTGGTCAGCTCTGGCCCATGCTACTGCTGCAGCTTCCTGCCTGGCCAGGGGGAAACGAGGGTGGTGCTGACACTGTGGCACTGCAGCATGGGCTGGTGAGGAGCTATGAAAAAGCAACTGCCTCTCCCCACCCTATAGCAAATGATGCTCCCAAGCACTCCACCCATTCAGCCATGGAGCAGGGAGGCCCTGGGCACGATGTCGTATCCCAGTGCCACACTGGGTCACTTGCAGACACAACCTCCCAGGCAGCGGCAGCTACTTGTTTTCATTGACAAGGCCGTTTGTGGTCTATCCCCACCCTACCTGTCATCTCCCACATGCTACTTCTGTCTTTGTTCTGCCAATGCCTCGAGCCTTTGTCACCCCCTTGTTAACGTCTCCTATACCACCTCTCGCACTCGGGAGGAGCACGGCATAAGCCTCTACAAACCTACTCACCGCCCTCCGTTAAAACCCTCCTTCGCTGCAACAGCTCCCTACAAAAGCGCAATGCCTGCTGTGCTGCGAGACAGCCTCCCAGCACTCCGACCAGCGTCGTCTCGTTGTTTCCTTCTGCTCCCCGTCGGTCTGCTTGTAGCCACCTGTTGGCTGTAGATTTCAAGCTGTTTGGGGCAGAGACTAGTTCTTTGTTCTATGTCTGTACAGCGCCTAGCGTAATGGGGGGCTGGGCCTTAGTGCAGTGAAGACAGTGAGGATAATGGGGAATTGCTAACTTGGGAGCATCAAAAAGTTATGAGTCAGGCCTGGCAAAACCCAGAGACAAACATTGGGTGGGCACATGAGCCATCAAGCTACACCTGGCCCCGCTTGCAACCTCCTTCTGCAACCACCAGGGCTAGAAACTTCCTTAAAAAAAAAATAAGAAGCCGCCAAGGGCCGCCCTCATCACATGACTCCAGGAGCCAGGCCAAGAAGAGAAAGATCAGCAGATGCATGGGAGTCCTTGTAGTGATACTGCAGGGGTAGGCAACCTATGGCACGCGTGTCAAAGGAGGCACGGAGCTCTTTTTCAGTGGCACTCACACTGCCCGGGTCCTGGCCACCGGCCCGGGGGGGCTCTGCATTTTAATTTAATTTTAAATGAAGCGTCTTAAACATTTTAAAAACCTTGTTTACTTTACATACAACAGTAGTTTAGTTATATATTATAGACTTCTAGAAAGAGACCTTCTAAAATGGTTAAAATGTATTACTGGCACGCAAAACCTTAAATCAGAGTGAATAAATGAAGACTCGGCACACCACTTCTGAAAGGTGGCTGACCCCTGTGATACTGCATAGACTTGCTCACCTAAAGCCCCTAAGAGACTACATCTCCCATCAGCCACCGCTGCCCCCCCTCCGGCTTGGCATGCGCAGAGCTGCTGCGGGACCGGGATGGGCTGTCGCCGCGCGGCATGCCGGGAGCTGTAGTGCCGCTGTGCCGCCCAGGCGCTTGCCTGGGCCGCGGCCGGGGACTACATTTCCCGTGGGTCTGCGGGCGGCGCGTGCGCCCTGCCGGGGGAAGCGGCGGTTCCTGCTTGCGCTGGCTGCGGCCTGCCTGGCACTGAGGGAGGGGGCGGCCCAGGCCCCGGACCGGCGGCGGAGCAGCGGGGCGGGACTATGGACCCGGCGGAGGCCGTGCTGCAGGAGAAGGCCCTGAAGTTCATGGTGAGGGGCGGCGGTACCGGGGGGCAAAGGGCCGGGGCCCCTGGTGGGCTACAGGGCGGGTGTGGGGCCGACTAGGGGGAGGGGCAAGTGATGGGGGGGGCGCTGAGCTTGGGAGGGCCAGGGCTGGGGGAGAGGGCATGGGGGCAGGTGGCGGGGGAGAGGAGGACACCTGGGGGGGAGGGAGGGAGGGGGCGTGCTGACCTATGGGAGGGCTGGGGGAGGGGGCATGGGGGCAAGTGGGGGGGAGAGGAGGAGGACACCTGGGGGGGCGCACTGACCTATGGGAGGGCTGGGGGAGGGGGCAAGTGGGGGGGGGAGGAGGAGGACATCTGGGGGAGGGAGGGGGCGTGCTGACCTATAGGAGGGCTGGGGGAGGGGGCATGGGGGCAAGTGGGGGGGAGGAGGAGGAGGACACCTGGGGCGGGGAGGGGGCGTGCTGACCTATGGGAGGGCTGGGGGAGAGGTATCTGTTGGGTCACAGGAGGGGGGGGGGCTCCTGGAAGGGAGGGGTAAGTGTTTTGGGGAGTCAGGCATCTGGGGGGTAGGTGAGGGCTAAGCTGTGGGATTACCAGAGGGTGGGGGGGATAAAGGGTTGGGGAACAGGGCATGCGGGGTGTGTGTGTGTGCTGAGTGGTGGGAGGCAAAGGCCTGGGGAAGGTAGTATTGGGGGAGGGGAGGCGATGGGTGGGCACCTGAGGGTGTAGGAGCAGGTGGTGATGGTGAAGAAGGTATTTGGTGTTCACCCTCTGAGACTCCTGAGTGTTGAAGCATGGGGGGCACTTAGGGTAGAATTGGGTGGGGAAATATGCCAGGTTGCTGAGTCAGGAAGAGGGCAAGTTCTGGAGTATGAGAGACAGGGGTCTTGGAGGAACGGTGAGTGCTGGTATGGGACGACGACCCCTGAGTCTTTGTAAAGTTGCACTGAGATCTTTGGCCGGTGTTGGCAGTACCTAGTGAGACAAGTAGTAGGGCTTGGGGTATCTTTTGGCTGGGTTGGGGGATGCTTGTGATGGGAATAGGGCTTACCTATAGGAGGTGGGGTTAAATGCTGGGATTTGGGTGCAAGAGCATGTGGACAAGAGACATTGCGCTGGGGGACAGGGAGTCACCTGCAGATGTGGCAGGAGGGCACCTGCAGGTATGTTTGCAATTCTCTGGTGGTCCTAGAGATTCTAAACAAGATTTCTGGCCTGATTTGGTGGTAAGAGGTGACCCATCAAGCACTGGTGCCTGGGAGAGGTGAAGTTTTTGTTCTGTATGTAGTGTGTGGGGTGTATTAGTTTTATCTGCACATCTGCTCGCCATAGTTTTTTTGTTTTTTTCCCCACCTTATGACCCTTTTTATCCTGGGTGCAGAATTGTATATATTGACATTTTAATCAGTTATGTTTTCCTGCTATATATCCTTGTTAATAGAGTGGATGTAAAGAGCCTTTATATTGTCTTGGTTTATAAATTGGCCTGTGGCACAGAAAATAACTTTGGGCATCAGTAGCCAAATCCGTTTTCAAATGTGACTGGTCTGTTTAGATTTGGGATAATACACCAAATGAAACAACAGTTATATTCCTTTTTTTATCGTTGATATTTCTAGATTGTTTGCTTCAGTTTCTTGATGCTATTTTCCAACCAAACAGTGATGCCAGCTTAATTGAATGCTAATTTTAGATGCTCTAAACTGTTCTGCTTCTAAGAATACATTTCAAGTGACTGGCAACATTTGTTGAAAGTTTATTTGTTGTGGATTAATGATTCAGTGGCACAGAATTAAATCTTTACTCATAAAGAACCTAAAATACAGCTATGCTTTCAAAATTTATGCCCAACGTGGAAATATTGAAAAACTAGATACAAATCTTGGCTTTCATTTGCACTTCAAAAGGTAGTAGAAAGTCTAAACTCTTAATTAGCTTCTGTTTTTTATCTTGTAGTATTGGTATCTGTTTTTAAATCTCTTGTTTCTGTTCAGATCATTGAATTCTTTTGCCAGTTCTTTGTATTTTTGTCAGGTTTATGGAATCTCAGGCTGAAGAGGTTAAAAAGATATTGGATGTCAGAATATCCTTGGCAGCAAAAAAATGCCCTCTCCATATGTGATTGACTAGAAGAGTGTGCCATATCCTGTTGGATATAGATCTGGCCATGGTAATCCACTCATTTGTGACCTTTAGGCTTGATAATTACAACTCATTGTAACTAGGAGTCATGAAGTCTTGCACCTTGAAAAAATTCCAAGTGTCTACTTAGTAGTACAGAGCACCATGTTGATGCTCCTGCTTCTGCATTGGCTCCCTATTGAATAAAGAGTCCAGTTCAAGGTCTCTGACCTGATATTTGGAGCCCTCCATGGTATTGACCCTAGCTATCTGATGGAATACCTGACCCTCCATGACCACAGCCTGGCTATGTTCTGCTGGAACAATGAAACATCAATGAATTGGGAGAGGCGTGTCAGTGTGGGGGAGAGAACTTTCACAGGAATAGGCCATAGACTGTTGAACTCACTCTGAGTGCCGAGTGACCAAGGACTTCACTGCATTGAGGAATAAATGACAGAGTGCTTTGATTTTTAGTTTTCCCTAAAAGAGTTCTTCACACACAGACATGCAAGACACACAAACAAACAAAAAAAGCAATCAAACAAGAAAAATGATAAACTAAGCATTTTCTTTTCTAGATTGGAAGGGAAGAGAGACTTTTATTTGCAGAATTGCTAACACTGGAATGTAACCTATCACTTAAATCAGCTTCTGTACCAGTTGACTGGAGGATCACTAATGTGATGCCAGTTTTAAAAAGGTTCCAGAGGTGATCCTGGCAATTGTAGGACACTAAACCTAACTTCAGAAGCAGGCAAATTGGTAGAAACTATAGTAAAGAACAGAATTATTGGCCACATAGATGAACATGATTTGTTGGGGAAAGTCAAAACAGCTTTTGTAAAGGGAAATCATGCCTCACCAATCTATTAGAATTCTTCGAGAGGGTCAACAAACATGTGAACAAGGGTGATCCAGTGGATATAGTGTACTTGGACATTCAGAAAGCCTTTCACAGGGTCCCTCACCAAAGGCTCTTAGGCAAAATAAGCTGTCATGGGATAAGATGGAAGGTTCTGTCATGGATCAGTAATTGGCTAAAAGATAGGAAACAAAGGGTAGGAATAAATAGTCCATTTTCAGGTGGGGAGAGGTAAATAACGGTGTCCCTCAGGGATCTGTACTGGGACCAGTGCTGTTCAACATATTCATAAATGATCTGAAAATAAGGGGTAAACAGGTGGCAAAATTTGCAGATGATACAAAATTACTCAAGATAGTTAAGTCCAAAGCTGACTGCGAAGAGTTCTGAAGGGACCTCACAAAACTGGGTGACTGGGCAACACAATGGCAGATGAAATTCAGTGCTGATAAATGCAAAGTAATGGGCATTGGAATACATAATTCCAACTATACATACAAAATGATGGGGTCTACATTAGCTGTTGCCACTCAAGAAAGTGATCTTGGGGTCATCCTGGATAGTTCTCAGTGTGTAGTGGTAGTCAAAAAAGCTAACAATGTTATGAACCATTAGGAAAGGGATAGATGGTAAGGCAGAAAATATCATAATGCCACTATATAAATCCATGGTATGCCCACAACTTGAATACTCCCTGCAGTTATGGTCGCCCCATCTCAAAAAAGATATATTAGAATTGGAAAAGGTACAGAGAAGGGCAACAAAAGAAGAGTATAGAACAGGGGTCGGCAACCTTTCAGAAGTGGTGTGCCGAGTCTTCATTTATTCACTCTGATTTAAGGTTTTGTGTGCCAGTAATACATTTTAACGTTTTTAGAAGGTCTCTTTCTATAAGTCTATAATTACATACAACAATAGTTTAGTTATATGAGTAAATAAGGCTTTTAAAATGTTTAAGAAGCTTAATTTAAAATTAAATTAAAATGCAGAGACCCCCCCGGACTGGTGGCTAGGACCCGGGCAGTCTGAGTGCCACTGAAAATCAGCTCGCGTGCCGCCTTCGGCATGCGTGCCATAGGTTGCCTACCCCTGGTATAGAACAACTTTGATATGATGAGAGATTTAAAAGACTGGGACTTTTCAGCTTGGAAGAGACGAATAAGAGGGGATACGACAGAAGTCTATAAAATCATGAATGGTGTGGAGAAAGAATAAGGAAGTGTTATCCCCTTCCCATAACACAGGAACCAGGGATCACCCAATGAAATTAATAGGCAGCAGGTTTAAAACAAACAAAAGGAAGTCCTACTTCACACAACACAGTCAACCTGTTGCCAGGGGATGTTGTGAAGGCCAAAAGTATAAGTGGGTTCAAAAAAGAATTAGATAAGTTCATGGATGATCAGTCCGTCAATGGCTATTAGCCAAGACCATCAGGGATGCAATCCTATGCCCTGTGTGTCCTAAACCTCTAACTGCCAGAAGCTGGGACTGGATGATGGGATGGATCACTTGATAATTGCCCTATTCTGTTCATTCCATCTGAAGCATCTGGCACCTGCCACTGTCAGAAGATAGACTACTGTGCTAGATGGATTGTTGGTCTGACCCAGTATGGCCATTCTTAAGTTCTTATCTTATTTATATCTGTTGGGGGGGGGGGGGGAGAGGGTTGTTATATTGGCACCCTTCACTATAGTTTCTGAGCACTTCCCACTGTAATTAGATCGGCAAAGCAAGGTCCCTAATTGGACTTCTTGGGGTCTTCTGCTCTTCTCACATCCCTGATTATGGGGGCTCTGCATAGAGCAGGTTTTTTGGAGGAGGTACAAGGGGCAATTGTACATGCCAACCAGGCCATGTTGGAAAACTGGTTTTTTTTTTTTTCTCTATCTCTAAATGCTTGGGAGGTGCTTAGATATAGTGGTGATGGCAGCCATATAAGTACCTACATAGATCTGGGAAGATGCATTCTAGTTCATCCAGTGGCAGATCATCCACAGTATACTCTCCTGTATGTCCAAGTGGATGATATGCTT